AGATTTATTTCAGTATATACTCAGTCTCCTCTCTGCAAGAAAAATTGTGTGGTTTCACTGAATTCCCAACCACAAAACTAAATTTTCTTCAAAAATTAACACGAGTTTTGTACCTTGAAAAAAAAAAAAAAAAAATATATATATATATATGAGTTTAACTTCAGTTGGATATCTAATTGTCATATAAAAAGGTATGAAGACCACACATTGTTACAAAGCAGCAGGATAATGTAGCACAATGTAGACTGAGATTAAAATTTACTTTTGATAAAACAAGGGAGTGAGTACTTATATGCAAGTAACATTTTAACTACCATAAAAACGCTCAACTTATACAAAACCCACAACAGTGAAAAGACAGTCTGGTAAATCCAACATGTATAAAAACTAAGCACAAAAACACAGTATTAGGGAAAAGAGAAACGGTATTATATAAGTAACAGTTTTAAAAATGTAACTTTTTCTCTATCATTAGTTACATATTAATTTACACACACTAATTGAAAATATGCTACAACCATAGTGTCTTTGAAAGCAGCCTAACATTTTCTAAATGGATTTTTCTCCACACTTATTATATATTAAAGCTGTTAATTCTGCACAAGTACAATTTAGTAATAATGCTCAATTTTCAACAAAGGGATTTCTTCCCTCAAAACACGTTTTTAACATAAAAACCTATGCTTGTTAAAATGGAAAACCTTCCTTTTCAGCAGTATAAATATTTCAAGTGAAACCCATTAGAAACTTTTCAAGTGTCCTTTCCTCTGTGTGTGTCAGCGTAGTTATCTAATGTAGAATCCTATAGAGAGATTTCTGTCTCCCTCTCTTCACTAGATGACTTTTTCTTAGAGCTGGTCTTGTCTTTGCTTTCTTCACTGCTATTTCCATTATGTTGTGGCTGACAACTATCTTGAGCATCAGATCCTCCATTTACAGTGTTCAAACTGGTTTGTTCCTTTTCTAGCTTTTTGTTTGGCCCTTTCTTTCCTTGATCTTTGGTTTTATTCGCTTGCTCATGCTGCCTTTGTTCAGCAAGACTTATTCAGCACTTGTGTGATCACAGAATCTCCATCACCAACCAAAAATTTGTTCTTAAACTTGTTATACAACATTGTAGACTTTCCATGATAACCTGACTAACTTTGAATCGCCATATTTTTTTCAGTGTTGTAATCATCTCTTGTGTGTTTCTGAGCTTGTTGCATTGTTATCTGAAGTGAAGCAGTTCTTCCAATGCCTCAGGATATCTGTTCCCATTAAGATGATCAATTCCGAGTGAGTTTTTTATTTCGGCATGTATCCATTGATGTTTCTCACCTCTTCTCCATTTTCTTAGCTTTTGGCTTCTTTGCTTCTGCTTCCTTATTCTGCTGCTCAGGTTCTTCCATTTGCTCCTTTTACTTGCGTTTTCTCTCGGTTGCCTCCTTCTCATGCTGCTCTTTTAGCATATTCCATCTATGGGCAGTCTGAAAGTTCTCCCACCTTTTCTCTTCTGACCTCCTTGATCATTCCCTTCTTCAGAATTAGAGGTTGATGCAGCCTCTGCTTTCAGTCAATTTTTTCTTTTTGATTCCACTTCTTTCTTCCCTTCTTTTTTGTCGGGCTTGTTTCTCAGTTTATCTTCTTCCTTTTGTCCTTCTTTATCCTTTTTCAATTATTTTCTAGGTTGTTTTTCCTCTTGCCCTTTTTTATCCCCTTTGTCATCTTCAGATGCCATGTCACTCTTTGAAGTACAAGGCTACCTCTTGGTTTTGGAATCTTGACTTCTGTAGCTGCAGGATGCCTTCTTTTTGGACCCACTTTTAGATTAACATGTTATTGATGTTATCACTATTCTGGTATCCTCCATTTCGACTTGTTTTTTCTGCCTTTCTCATTGTCCCTCTTCTGGCAGCTTTCAGAGTATTTACGTCAATTGCTTTAGTCACATCCTCATTGCTGACTTTTCCTTCCTGATCAGTATCCTCCTTTGAAACACTAGTTTCTTTTTCTTCAGCTTCAGCATCAAATGATTGCTTAGTTGATGACTGCTGACTTGAAATTTTCACTTTCGGATTATTAATCTATTTCCTATAAACCTTCACTAAAACCTTTTCATTTATTTGGTGTGCCATATTTTTCCGTATTTTCATGGTAAGGGAATGTATCCTTTGTTTCCAGAAAAGTAGTCTCATGAGTTCCAAAAAAGAAAATGGCTAGTTTGTTTGTGGCTTTACAGCTCCATTAGGAACTTCATCTACTTGAGCTGGCCAATGAAGATACCCTTTCTTCGTGGTGAAGATGAGGTCTCCAGGTTTGAAATCGTGAGTCACCAGTATCATTGACTCTTAATCATATGCTACCGTTTGAAATGGTTGAACATTGACCATTTCTTTTTGGTATACTAACTGTATTCCATCGTCTTATGATACTTTCTAAGTCATTCAGCTTGGGACATATTATTATTAAGGACCAGTTGCTGGAGAAGGTTTGGTAAGGTGGAGGGTTAGAGAAAAACAGGAAGACCCCCAATGAGATGGATTGGCCAAGTGGCAGCATCGATGGACTCAAGTCCATGGCAACCATAGTGAGGTTGGCCCAGGATCGGGCAGTGTTTCGTTCTGCTGTGCATAGGGTCGCTATGGGTCGGTACTGACTCTATGGCACCTAACAACAACAGCATGTCATTCAACATTTTGCCATAGAATCTTTAAATATCGGAAGTCGAAGCTTGAATTTTTCTTTAGTTCCCTCAGCTTGAGAAATGGTGATCATGTTCTTTGCTTTGGGTTTTCTAACTCCAGGTCTTTGCACATTTCATTATAATATTATACTTTGTCTTCTCCAGCTGCCCTTTGACATTTTCTGTTCAGCTCTTTTACCTCCTTATTTCTTCTATTTGCTTTAGTGTCTCTACACTGGAGAGAGCAAGTTTCAAAGTCTCGTCACATCCATTTTGGTCTTTTCCTCCTTTCTTGGCTTCTTAATGACTTTTGCTTTCTTCCCATATGATGTTCTTGGTGTCATCCCACAACTCTCTGGTCTTGTGTCTTTCGTGTCTAATGCATCAAATCTATTCTTCAGATGGTCTCTAAATCCATGTGGGATGTCCTCAAGGTCATAAATCAGCTCTTGTGGACTTGTTTTCATTTTCTTCAGCTTCAGCCTGAACTTGCATATGAATAATGAATAGTCTGTTTCAGAGTCTGCCCCTGGCCTTGTTTTGGCTGTTGATAGGGAGCTTTCCTCCATCTTTTTCCACAGATGTAGTTAATTTGATTTCTGTGTATTCTGTTTGTGGAAGTCCATGTGTATAGTAGTCTTTTATGCTGTTTAAGAAGGTATTTGCAATGAAGAATTCAATGATCTTGCAAAATTCTATCCTGCTATTTCCAACATTGTTTGTATTAAGTGCCAAGGCCATATTTTCCAACTACTGAGCCTTTCTCTTTGTTTCCAACCTTTGCATTCCAGTTGCCAGTAATTATCAATACATCTTGATTACATGTTTGATCAGTTTCAGACTGAAGAGGATGTTAAAATTCTTCCATTTCATCATCACTGGCTTTAGTGGTTGGTGTATAAATTAGAATAATAGTGGTATTAACTGGTCTTCCTCGTAGATGTATGGATATTATCCTATCACAGACAGCATTGTACTTTGAGACAGATCTTGATGTGTTCTTTTTGATAATGAATGCAACACCATTCCTCCTTAGTTTCTCATTCCCAGGCCATTTCCGTTCATTGATCCCTAGGATATTGATGTTTATACATTCCATTACAGTTTTGACAATTTCCAATATTCCTAGTTTCATACTTTGTACATTACTGTGTTCCAGTTGTTAATGGATGTTTGCAACTGTCTCTCTTCATTTTGAGTTGTGCCCATAGAATCTTTCAATATTGCAAGTCAAGGCTTGAATTTTTTCTTCAGTTCCTTCAGCTTGAGAAATGCTGAGCATGTTCTTCCCTTCTGGTTTTCTAACTCCAGGTTTCTGCACATTTTGTTATAATATTTGATTTTGCCATCATAATTATAAATGTAGTCATAATAATTATTTTTAGTAGGCATTCCATTAGAAATTAATATAATTTCGATTATAATTATATATAATTTAGTAGCCATCCCATTAGAAATATATATAATTACAGTTACAATTTTGTGGACTCTGAATTGATAGTTATGTTGTTTCAAATTCATTGGGTGTGGCACTGTGGGTTAATGCACCAAACTGCAAGGCTGTTTGAACTCCAAGGTTGACGGTTCAAGCTCACCAGCTGTTCCTCAGAAACCTTATACAGCATCGCTATGGGTTGGAACCAACTTGATGGCACTTAACAACAACAACAAATAAAGTTGAAATTAGTGTTTTTTATGTATGTAGCTTATTCCTTCATTTTAATTGTCTTTAGGTTAAATTTCCAAGAGTAAAATTACTTAGTAAGAGAGATTTAAATGTTATGTTATTCTAGTACTATTTTTTAAAAACAATATACATTGAACATTCATGTCCAATATTTGTGTCTTTATTTTTCTAAAACCTTGCTAGTATTAATCATCTCTTGCCTTTTTTATAAAAACAGTTTAATAGATATATGTTGTTGTTGTTATTAAGTGCCATGAAGTCAGTTCCGACCCATAGCAATGCATATAGGGTTTACAAGGAGCAGCTGGTTAGCTTGAACCACCGACCTTGCAGTTCAAAGGGCTTTGCAGTCTGGCGCATTAACCCCCAGTGCCACACCAGGGCTCAAATCGATGGATAGTGGATCTAATCTTATGTACTTTTTTATTACCCAGGAACTCAGCATATTCTATTATTTATTAACATACTTCTCTTTGAAAATTATTTATACATAACCTCGTTTTGAGACATTTATTTTATTCTTAGAAACAGTAAAGCACCTGATAAGGAGCCTATTGGGTCACATAATTCAATTAAGTCATCTTTTGAAACAGCATTTGTGTTACTATATGTGTTTATGTTTCTAACTTTTTCTTGTTGCAGACCATTCATCAAGGACTTTCCATCCAAGGCCCAAAAGTTTGTTACCCACGATGATGAATGCTGACATGGATGGTATGTTTTTCATTTTCCATATTGGTTCTGTGGGTGCCTCTCATTTATTAAGCAGTGGAAAGAACAAGATACAATTATAAGAAGACTTGGATCTTGGCTAACTTATGTATAACCCATCTAGTTCTAGAAAGGCTCTAAAGCACTGAGATATTTCACTTTCATGTCCTCCTATGCAGTGTAGAGATAGGCATTTTTACTTCACAGAGATTTTGTATAAGATAATGAATATAAAGCATCTTGCTGATTTTTAGGCACTAAACTCTACAAGTCTTACCTAGTATTAATGTATAGTACATTTGAACCTTTTTATTACAGCAGTTGATGCTGAAAATCAGGTGGAACTGGAGGAAAAAACACGACTTATTAATCAAGTGTTAGAACTCCAACATACCCTTGAAGGTGAGCTTGCATTCTGTGGCTTTCTTGAATGACATCTCATTAGTTGAAATAAGCATTTATATTGTTAAATGTTATGCTGATATACACAATTTTGAAAAATAGAAACTTCAAGTCCATTTCAGCTGTTTTCCCCTCCTCCCTTCCACCTGTCATATTGGTGAGTGGTTTTAAAGAATGATGTAGGCTTCAACAAGGAGGTCACATAGACTTAACCTCTCCTTTGTAAGGTTTCTCTTCCTGGTCTTTCAATGACAAACAAAATGTTGTTTTATACACGAAAGCCTGTTTTTAAGTCTCCGCATTGTGTTCCTAAAGTCCACTTTAATAACACATATGTAATAAAAAAGAGTGTTAACCTTGTAGACATTAAAGGAAATTGATTTGAGTTTTTTCCTTTTCTAAATATATAAAATGAATACTATTACTGAAAAAGCTTTTGTTTTTTAATGAAATAAAGCCTTCATATTTTATTTGGAGTGTTTTGGAGCCAGAGTGAGTAGGTTATGTCACTCAGAATCTTCTAGTGATTTTGCTTTTTGCACAGTTAATAACAACAGCCTCATCCCATGACTGGCATCTACAGTACTGTTCAGTCTTGTCACTCGCTGCCTCATCAGTTCCATGTTAGACACATTTACCTCTTTGCTGTTCCTTCTCTGGGCCAAGGCTGCTACTGTTTAGGGCCTAAGCAGTTGCTGTTCCCTCTCCCTGCACCTTTTTTTTTTTTTTTAGTTATTTGCATATCTACATGGCTTAATTCTGTCAATAATCTAAGTCTTTGGTCACATTCCCTTATCAAAAAAGCTATCCCTGTTTATATGTACAAAAGAGCAACTACACTTTCTGTCATTTTCAGCCCTCCTTGTCTTTTCTCCAGACCAACTTATCACTCTGTGATGTGTATATATTTAATGCCTGCTCCTGACACCCCTCCCCCCCCAACACACACACACACCCTGCAACCCCTTTATGCACACATGCACATTGGAATGTAAGCTCTGAGGACAAGGGCCTTTCTCTTTATGTTCACTGTTTCCTCCTTAACATCCAGAAGAGGGCTTGACTCTTAGAGGGTGGGTGCCCAATCCATATTTGGTGAATAAATGGAAGTCATTTATCACTTTGATCACCAGGGACTGTGCCTCTTCAGTTTCTTGCTCATGAAGCTGATTGACTGTTTCCAGTATATGAAATGAATACTGTTCACTTCTATATTTACTTAAAAATTTGTAGTAAAGACATTATGTTCTAATGTGGATAAGATATGAATCAGAATTCATGTTTTAAAAACAAGTGCTCTCCTTTTTAAAAGAATAACTGTTTGAAGAGTTAACTTCTTGTTAAGTTCTATCAAGTCGGTTCTGACTCATATTGCCCCCGAATAGAGTTCCCAAGGAGTGGCTGGTGAGTTGAACTGCTAACCTTGAGGTTCAAAGCAACCTTGCAGTCCAGTGCATTATTCTGCAGCCACCATACCAGGACTCCAGGAGTTAAATACTCAACATAAATGCAGTTTATAAAAAGTAATAGTGTAATGTGAAATGTATTCAACTTAACCAAAATCTGTTTGTAGAAATTATTGTCTCATTTGTGCTCAGTTTACTTTACTTTCTTTACAGCAATTGAAATTCATTAACAACATTTAAGGGTTTTGGATTCACCTCTAAGAACAAATCTTAAAAAAGTACTTGGTAATATGTCATTTGCCATCATCATTTAAGAGCCTTTTTATTTTTTTTTTTTTAAATATAGATCTCTCTGCAAGAGTAGATGCAGTTAAGGAAGAAAATCTGAAGCTAAAATCAGAAAACCAAGTTCTTGGACAATATATAGAAAACCTCATGTCAGCTTCTAGTGTTTTTCAAACAACTGACACAAAAAGCAAAAGAAAGTAAGAGGTTGCCATCCTCTGGGTTTGATGGAATTGCTGCTGGGTTTTGTTTTGTTTTGTTTTCCTTTAAAACTTGGATAGATTCCAAAAGTTATAGTATCTTTGTTTGTGACTTCATTGAGTATTTATGAAGATAATGGCACATTTAGGCAAAATTAAGAGCATAACAGGAGACTTCTATGAGTTTGTGTATTATCTTAGTCTATGAAAATGTGCAGATGTATTGTAGAGACTTTATAATTAGAATTGCATATATTTATGAAAACTTGAAAATGAATGTTTTATCAAATTTGCTTTTTTAGGTTTAGCACTGTCCTTTCTTATAGGTGTAGTAAAAGATGATACAAGAAAATAACTACCATATTGTGAAAGAGTGACCAAACCATGTACTGAATGCACAGCTTTCTATGTAGCCTGCCCACCGTCTTGTGCCTCTTTACCATTACCCTCTTCCTTTCTTCCATTTCCCTTCCCCTCCAGGGGGGAAAAGATGGTTCCACATTTGGAAAAGTAATTTTAATAGTTAATCATTTATGAAAGTACAACTTGAACTAATTGTTGAAACTTAACTTTCTCAGCTAGGGCCTATCATTTCTTTTAATTACTAATAAGATAGGACTGTTGGTTTTCCTTTTAATAAATTGAAAACAGACTATAAAAATGAAGATTATCCCTTGAGACTATGAACTTTCATGTTGGGAAGATTTATTCTTCAATACTTCTTCCTTCTGCAAAAATGACCGGCTTGTGTGTATTGAACATAAAAATCTTGGGGAAAAAGAAATAGGGCAGGAAAAATATTTGGTAAGTAGTAGTTTCCAACTCCCAAATGTTTTCCTTTCCAATTTGTGTTGTCATCTTCACAGCTTAGGGTTTTGGGTTGCAACATACATGAGTAACCTAATGTAAACCACATCTAGAAGAGAACACTTAGAGTTTTGTCTCTTAAGATTTATTTATAGTATTCAGAAGATCATTTTTTGTAAAAAAAAAAAAAAAAGTTTATTTGCATCAGAATCATGAAGAGAATGGGAGAATTTTTTGTGTGTACTAATAGATAATCTATCGTGGTATTTTATCTTACCATTTCTAGAATTTTTTTTTAAATCCAACTTTTTGGTTTGTTAAGTTTTGGGCATCATTTTACTAAACAGCTTTTAAAAATTCACTTGTAGGTTCCATTTAAAAACGGACTCTATCTGAAGTAATGTTAAAATGTCCATTACAATAAGAAGAGAGAGCCACTAGTAAGAATTGTGTGTAATGAGACTTGGGTAACTTTGAATCATGGAATAATCTTATGATTGAGTTGGTATAAGTATGACTTGTTAAACTATTTATTTGTATGAATACATAGTAGTCATACTGCAGGCATTTTGCATCCTTTTCGTGATCTAATTGACAAACATTTAAAACTTGTGTTGCAATTCTGCTTTGCTGTTTAATAAAAAGCTCTTTCAGAGAGAGTATGTGTGTTTTGATATCATTGCCTGGATAACAGGTATGTAGTGGTATTGTCGGGGATGTTCAGAGCCACAGTATCTTAAGTTTCCATATGACTGTGTGTTTGAGGGAGTACTAGTTTTATTAAAAGTTATTATCGGATAGTGCACATTAATTTAAAAAAAGTAAAGCACTCAAAGTGAAAAGGAATCCAAGATCTCTGGGGAAAAAGGGGGTTGTATTTTTAAGGTTAAGCCAGACTACTATAAAGTCATGGTGGCTCAATGGTTAAGCACTCTGAATCCTAACTGAAAGGGCAAGGTCAGCAATTGGAGCCCACCAGTGACTCTCCAGGAGAAAAGACCCAGTGGCGGTCTGCTCCCATAAAGATTATAGCTCAGGAAACCTTATGGGGCAGTTGTGCTCTCTCCCATGGGGCTGCTGTGAGTCAGAACCAACAGCACCAAACAAGCTACTGTAACAGACTCCATGGTAGACAATAAACAACAATGGAGCTTCTCTCCCAACTGAGGCTTCCAAGGGGAGCATAGCACGCTGGCAGCTGCTATGTCCATGTCAGGGGCTCGGCTTGAGGATGTAAGGATGTCTCTGCCATTTCCTACATTTCCTACACACAGCTTCCAAGGCACAAATTATTGCCATTCTGATATGCAGGAGTGTCAGGGTGATACACATGGTTAAGCACTGGACTACTAACTGAAAGGCTGACTGTTTAAACCCACCCAGAGGCACCTCAGAAGTAAGGCCTGGTGATCTTTCTAAATTTAGGTCACAGCCTTCAAATCCCTTTGGAGCAGTTCTATTCTGCACACATGGGGTCTCCATGAGGCAGAATCAACCAGCTATAAGAATGCAGAAAGAGCTGAGGTGCTAACATGTGAGACGTTTTGGATTGGGCCGGGACATAGCCCATCTTGTCTTTGCAGTGGCATGAGGATTCAATTACATCTGCTGCAAGAGGAGCACAATTGCAGTCCGTGTGCTGGGCAGTGTGATTCCAGCTACAACTGTATTACCACTGAAGGAAACGGAAGGCTTTGGTGGCAAATAGGTAACTCCACCTCAGCCCTCTTGCTGCCAACTATCTGTGGATAACGTTCTTTTCACATAGAAAATGCTCAACTCCTCTTCAGCCAAGTTACTGTGGTTCGAAGTCCAGGAACTTTTATCAAGGTAGATCAGCTATAGATGTAGCTACTTAACAGTCTGACAATTTCTAAATGGATAGATTTCTGGGTGGTGAAAGCAGTTAAGCACTCAACTACTAGCTGAAAGTTGGCAGTTTGAAAACACCTAGAGGCACTTTATGACTGGTTCCATGGTGTAATGGTGAGCACTCTGGGCTCTGAATCTAGCAATCTGAGTTCGAGTCTCAGTGGGACCTTTCCCTTTGGGGTCCTGGTGTGGCATTGTGGGATATAGCACTGGACTGCAATGTCACTTTGAACCACAGGGTTGGCAGTCCAAGCTCACCAGCTACTCCTCGGAAACCCTATACAGGGTTGCTATGAGTTGCTTCGGCACAGAGCTGCCCCTCCCCTCCCTTTGGTTTTTGGCTTCACAATTAGCAGAGGAGTCTTAATTGACTTTCCCCTGCCATCTCCCACATCTCCCTAAGAAAACAAATTTGACTCTTGGCCTACTCTTCAGGGTACTGAAGCAATTGACTTCTAACCCTGAGGTTCCTAATATCTGAACTTTGCTATTCCTTTCCATGAGACTGGTCAGTTCTTTGTTGTGATACTTTATTAAACTAAGTGCATCAAATCCAAACTGCCTCAAAGGGTTTCCAAGGATGTAGCTCTTTATACAAGCAGATTGCCACGTCTTCCAAGGAATGGCTGGTAGGTTCAAACCACCAACCTTTTCAGTTAGTCCAGCATTTAACCCACTGTGCCACTAGGGCGCCTCTAAAAAGATCCAGGAGTAACCATCTTATACTCTTAATTTTCCCCAACTACTATCCTAGAACCACAAGTTTGTTAAGTGCCATCGAGTCCATTACAATCCACAGTGACCCTGTAGTTTAAGCTGGTGAAAATGAACTGCTGAACTTCCGGTTCAAACCGACTTTGCAGTCCCGTACATTAACCCACAGTGCCATACCAGGACTCCAGAATCATCAGTTTAATAGTCTTGTTGTTAAGCACCATTGAGTCGGTTCCCACCCATAGTGTTTCCAAAGAGCGGCTGGTAAGCTTGAACCACCGACCTTGCGGTTCAAATAGACTTTGTGGTCCAGCGCATAACCCAATACAGTGTCAAACCAGTTAGTTGTTGTTAGGTGCCACCGAATCAGTACCAACTCACAGCAACCCTAGGTACATCAGAACAAAACAGTGCCTGGTCCTGAGCCAACCTCACAATTATTGCCATGCTTGAGCCCATTGATGCTGCCATTTTGCCAATCCATCTTGCTGGGGGTCTTCCTTTTGTCTGACTCTCCATTTTGCCTTCTCCAGCGACTGGTCCCGCCTGACAATATGTCCGAAGTATGAGAGATGAAGTTTGGTCATCCTGGCCTCCACGGAGCGCTCTGACTGCACTTCTTCCAACACAGATCTGTTTGTTCTTTTGGCAGCCCATGGCACTTTCAATATTCTCCTCCAATACCATAACTCAAAAGCATCAATTCTTCTATGGTCTTACTTATTCACTATCCAGCTTTCGCAAGCATATGGAGGTTATTGGAAATACCATGGCTTGGGTCAGGCGTACCTTAGTCCTCAGTGAGCCCCTCAGGTTGGACGGCACTCAAAATGCGACTGGGGAAGAGCTGCCTCCTCAAAGTAGAGTTGACCATGATGACGCAAATGGAGTAAAGGCCCATGGGACCTTCATTTGCTGATGGGGCACAACTCAAAATGAGGAGAAAATGCATAAATATCGATATCTTAGGCATTAGTGAGCTGAAATGGACTGGTATTGGTCATTTTGTATCTGACAATCACATAGTTTACTATACCGGGAATGACAAATTGAAGAGGAATGGTGTTGCATTCATCATCAAAAAGAACATATCCAGATCAGTCATGAGGTACAAAGCTGTTTGTGATAGGATAATATCCATGCACCTATTGGGAAGACCAAGGAGCCCTGGTAGTGTAGTGGTAACAAATCGGGTTGTGAACTGCAAGGTCAGTAGTTCGAAACTACCAGCTGTTTCGTGGGAGAAAGATAAGGTTTTTTGCTCCCGTAAAGATTTATAGTCTTGGAAACCCTGTACAGGGTCGGTATGGGTTGGAATCGACTCCACGGCTCTTAACAACGGCAACAACTGGGAAGACCAGTGAATACCACTATTATTAAAATTTACGCACCAACCACTAAAGCCAGTGAGGATGAAATAGAAGAATTCTATCAACTTTTTCAATCTGAAATTAAACATGAAATCAAGATGTATTGATCACTACTGGTTATTGGAATGCACAGGGAACAAAGAGGAAGGCTCAGTAGTGGGAAAATACGGCCTTGGTGATAGAAGAAACACCAGTTTAGTAGATGTCAAATGTCTGAAATACTGCTGCAGGCCTTGTGAACGCCATTGCCACGTACGTTGGGTTTTTGTTGTGGGAGCACTTCATTTCAGAATATTCTTCCAGATTAGAAATATAGGTGGTAAACAGTGCACACATGGATGGTGTCCCGTTTCCGAGCTCCCAATGCTCGTGGAATGGTGACTAGCCGGAAAAATCAGCATCCAGTGTTCTCGGTTGTTGTTGTGTAAGTGCCGTCGAATCGGTTCTGACCCATAGGGTTTCCGAGGAGCAGCTGATGAGCTTGAATCGCTGACCTTGCAGTTCAAACGACTTTGC